CTGCGCTGGTGGGGGGGGGGAGGGCGCAGCTAGTGCGTCCACCCCCCCCAGCAGACCAGGCTTTTGTTGTGGACACCTGGGGTAGAGCAGCTGGGGTGCTGCCGGGTTGGTCCTGGGGGGACCTACCTGGCAGCGCCCCAGCTGTTCTGTCCCAGGCTCCAAATTCAGCCGCTGTTGAAACTGATCAGTGGCTGATTCCAGGAAGCTGGGGGCAGAGCAACTCTGCCTCGGGCTTCCTGTAGTCAGCCCCTGGTCAGTTTCAGCAGCAGCGGCTGAATCTGGAGCCAGTTCCAAGTTACGTACAAATTCAACTTAAGAACAAACCTATAGTCCCTATCTTGTACGTAACCTGGGGACTGCCTGTACTGACACCTTCTCTATTAACCTCCTGCCTGACCTGGCCGCATGGACTGCACTGCAGACCTGGAAGTGGCCAGCAGGAGGCCTGATTCATAGGCAGAGATGCACAAGTGGCTCTGCACTCTGCTTTCACCAACAGGCACAGGTCCCAGGGTGTCGATGCTCAGGGTGGAGGCAGCGTAGGGAGCCCCATCAAGCCCCATGTAGAAGTCGGACCAGCTGCTGGCCACTTCTGGGGCACAGCAGGGTCTGCATTGTCAGGACAGTGAAGAAATCTAACCTAGCACTCTGGCTGGTCACCTGGTCACCCTACAGCAAGGTTACCCAGTGCCTGACATTCCATGACCCAGTACTGAGTCATGACCCTTAGTTTGAAAATCTCTACTCTGTGCCACTGAACAGAACTGGACCTAGGAACAATCCCTGCAAAAGCCCACTCAACATGCCCTTCAAGCATGAGTGTGAACCACTGATAGCTACTCTCTAGGAACAATTTTCCAACCAGTTATGCACCCATCTTACTGTAGCTCCATTTAGGTCATGGATGGGCAATAAGCCAGAGGCAGTTTGCCAGTATTAACCTGTGATGAGCCACTAGTGCTTTATTTACCTGTACCTCTGCAGGTATTGCCACTTTGAAGTTCCCACTGGCTGAGAATCACCACTCCTGACCAATGGGAGCTGCGAGAACTGGCATGGACCAGGACCCTGGTTCCTGCAGCTCCCTTGGGCTGGGAACTGCAATCCGTGGCCAATAGGAGCTTCAAGTGGCTGTACCTGTGGAGGCGTGGGTAAATAAAGCACCCATTGCCCATTAGAGACTACCCTGGGGAGCAGCATTTGGCTCATGGGCCAGTTCTTGCCCACTGATGATCTAGGTGGTATTTCTCTAATTTGTTTATGAGAAGATTATGCAAGACATTATCAAAAGCCTTACTAAAATCAAGATATACCAAACGTAATACTTTCCCCCTTTGCATAAGGCTTGTTACTCTGTCCAAGAAAGCTATTAGGTTTGTTTGACATGATTTGTTCTTGACAAATCCATACTGTTACTTACTACCTTATTGTCTTCTAAGTGTTTGCAAACCAATTGCTTGATTATTTGCTCCAATATCTTTCTGGGTATTGAGCTTAATATTTCCCAGTTTGCCTTTATTTCCCCTTTTTATAGATTGGCACTATCTTTGTCCTCTTTCAGTCCTCTGGAATCTCTCCCATCTTCCATGAGTTTTCAAAGATAATCACTAATGGCTCCGCTATCTCATCAGCCAGATCCTTGAGCACTCTAGCCTGTATTTCATCTGGTATTGCTAACTTGAGGACATCAAACTTGTCTAGTAATTGTTAACTTGTCCTTTCCCTATTTTAGCCTCAGATGCTACCTCATTTTTACTATGTAAGACAGCCAACTGCTGCTAAAATTTTTGGTGAAAACTGAAAAAAATCATTTGGCATTTCTGCCAATTCCTCATTTTCCCTTTAGATGACATCAAATGATTTTTGTATTATGTTACAGCCTATAAGCGCCAGTTGTGGAGCAGAACCAATGCACTGTGTCTAGCACAGAGAACAAAAAGATGGTCCCTGCCCCTATGAATTTACAGTCTCTTTAACTTGTATTTTCTAATTGTTGTGCTGAGCCAAATAGATTTCAGTTTTCTCCAAGGTAAATGCTCAGTGGTAGTAGAGCAGAATACTATCCAGAGCAATTCTTAACTGATTCTCTATGCTGCCACTATATTCTTCGGTCTGATCTGAAGACAGTGCAAATGTTTTGCATACTGTACACTGGAAGCCTTTCAAGTTATAAGGCATTTAAATATATTTAAATCATTCATATTTCTCTCTTTCTTCTAACCACATGCAAAAATAAATGAAAAGAACAGCTCTAGTATGAATATATAGGATTATCCATTTTAAATATTCCCAGTTTTAAAAGTGCTTATATGATTTTCTTCAAAATTGAACTGATTTGAGTTTCAGTGAGGAATATTAAAAAAAGTTGAACTTCAAGTTCTCCTTTTCTGAGTTGTGCAAATGCAGACATTTCGATTGGAATATATCTGAATTGTGTTTTTCCCCACTATGTTATAACTCTAAAACAGACTGATTTGCTGAAATGTCTGTCCCAAAAGACAGACATTTCATACCTGAACTAAAGGATCAAGTAAGGAACATGAGCTCAAAAGCAGTTTATTAGCAACTGAAGAACAGAGGTTATAATGGAAGTTATAACTTATCCTTCCAGTGCTTACTACTATGGCTTCTAAAATATGGTCACCCTTTGGGGCCTGACGGGCTAGCTAACAGTTGAAGCCTTACCAAGTTTTTTCAGTTAGGAGGAGAAAAAGATTATAGGACTCAAGTACTTCTGTGATGTGATCTTGTTTATTTACAATCCAGAATTTAGACAAAGTCTTGTTTTCCTGAATGAGTAGAAACAAACGGGGGGAATTTTCCTGGCACATAAATCCCAAGTCTCTTTCTCCAGTGAGTCTAGTGCCCCAAAGAGATCTGTCTTTGCTCTCTTTTAGGGCCATGATCACTTTTCTCACTGTCTGCTCACTTTCTGCCTATCCCACTTATGGACACACAACTCTAACCAGTCAATACCTCAAATCTTGCACTGGTAATTAGTCCCGAGGAAAACCCGTCAGCTCACATGGCTTAGCTCTGATTAAACCTATCATACAATGCTTTGCCTTTGGAGGCAAATTCTTATTGTTTCAGCTATCAATACACAAAGGGACATAATACTTCTACCCTTCTTCCTGAATGAAAAGTCACTCATCGACTTTGACTAGCTCTGAAATCGATCTCAAGATTAAAAAGACATGATTGATGACAACCATTCACATCTGTTACTCTAACAATAATAATACTCAAACACACACAGACACAATTCAAATAAATGTTCATTTTTATGTTTCAAAATGTCCAGTGTTTCAATATTTGAATGTTTCATGGAACAATAGTTACCAAGTGAAGAACAAAGTTTACCTAGCTCTTTGCTGGAGCTGCTTGATAAACAATGTAGAAGCATACCCAGAGGGAACCAGTTAATTGTAACTACTCTATTTGGAAAAGAAAATAGTTGGAAGAACCACCTTTCCAGTTGAACTACAGTGCCAAAAGTTACCATGCTAACAAGTGTAATTTGTCAAAAATTGTATTTTAAATGTGTGAGTGTACAGGCATGCCTACATATATAAATATTCTTACCCAGTAGGTTTGTGAGCCACAGAGCTAGATCCTCTTTCATTGGTAGTAAGTTAGCCTCATGTCTGCTGGCCAGCCACTGGCTGTATTGATGCATATCAGAGAGGCCAGGTCCTCGTGCCTTTGGGCTTATAGCAGTGCACATTGTTTATCCACTTGTAGTACCTGTTTTAAAAAAATACCTCATTATACTATACAAGGCTTTTTAAGTTTATTGATGGTGTTTGAAACTATGATCCTGGGATGCAAGATGTTTCAGACATACACAGCACTAACCAGACAAACCCCATGCAGGTCTAACACATGGAAACAACATACATGATGAAAGTCTTTTTTGCTAATGGAACATTTTGCTGGTAATGTAATCATATGGATAATGTCTATTTTATTTTGTACTCACCTAGTGGTACACATGTTCCCAACAATCCACTACTCTGCAAGCAATAATTAAAACCAAATCAAAATATTTTTAGACACAGAGCTAACAATTCATTACAATCTGATCTAGTGTCCACTGAAACTCAGGGAAAGCTTCAGTGGGCTTTGGATCAGGCCCTAAAACAGCACATACGTAAGGACGGTTTGCAACTGAAACAAATTGTTAATAGTAATAAACAGATACCCGTTCCACCACATGAAATCAGTTGGTTCTACAGCTTTAATATAATAAAAAAAATACAAAGAACCCTTTAAGATATTTTTCAATGTAACTGTATTATTTTATACACATATAAAAAGCATGGCAGTCCTGGAGGATGGAATTTATCCACAAAACAGATAATGTAGCAGTACAAACTTCTGAGTTCACCATCCCTCTCCACAAATGCCAATGGGCCTCAATTCAGAACTGTGAGAACTGCCTCTGGGTACTTCATTTTCCCATTCAATATTTTAATCCCAATTTAATTTTGAAAATCATTTCAACAGCTGGAGGTACAAAGTGCCCACTGGAATGGTAGTTCCTCTTAGTCAAGGTCAGATTCATCCATGTGCCACATAGGTGTGCTCGGGGAGGAAGACAGCAGCAGACTCTACCGATCCCTATGAAGTACAACAGGGTTTCAGCCTAATGCTAAAGGGTGTGTCTACAATGCTCTTTTTTTCTGGAATAATGGCCATTATTCCAGAAAATCAATACTAGTGTCCACACAGCAATTGTGTTTATTTTAAAAGAAAATTGAAGTAACTGAGGGGTTTTTCCAGCATTGGTAAACCTCCTTCCATGAAGAATAACTCCTCTTCCAAAAAAGCTCTTTCAGAAGAGGGTATGTGTGGACGCTCCACCACTGCTATGTCGAAATAGCTCTTCACCAGGGCCATTCTAAAGTTATTCCTCCCCAGTGCCTCCTGTGGCTCTACATCGAAATAGCACGTTCAAATTAGGGGACCCTGCCTCGAACTAATTTTGAGGCTTCCCTGTAGTGTGGATGCTCTATTTCAAAATAAGCTATTCCGGGAGATCTCTTCCGAAAAGCTTTGTCCAAAATAAGCTTGCAGTGTAGACGTACCCAGAAAGAGTGCCAAATTAGAGGACTGGCTACTGTCTCAAATGGCTCATCGTAGCCCAAGAGTCAGGCCCTGGTCAGATAACTCATATGTTGCATCGTGCAGGTGGGATCAGGCAGAGTTCTCACTGTTCTATTCCAAAGGATCAGGAAAAAGTTTATGTACCCTAAATATTCTGTGCCATTGTGGCCTGCACTTGTAAGCTACTTGCAGTGCAGGGTGTACTTCTGATGGCAGTTTCCTCCTACCCCTTGCAGAATGCCTACAAGTTATGAGTAGGCCTATAGGCAACAGTGACTTTAAAAATAGGAGAAAACAATTTTCTATTCTATGACAGTGGTTAGAGTGTTAGGGATGGCAAAAGTAACACAGTGGAAACTTGATTTTATGAACACTGATCTTATGAACAACCTGTTATATGAGCCATTTTTCTGCCAATTAAGTCATTTTTCTGATGATAAATATCACTTCAATTCTCCAGCCAATGTTCAAGCAGCTGCAAAGGTTTGAAAAGAGATTTGGTGGCAAAGAGGAGATATGGTTCTCTCAAAGAAAAATTAGGTATACGTTGCGTGTTACATAGACAATCATTTGACATTGAATAAATTGACATATATGTTGTATCTACTGTCATTTTGAAATATTCAATTGTATTAACTTTCAGATTTTGTTAATTTAAGATATAGATTCAGTAGAATGTCTATATACAAAGAAAAGTAAATGGATGCAAGATATACAAGGGCTTTTGTAAAAAAATTACTGCAGCATTTCATATATATTAAAAAGGATTATAATATATGGGTTGAAATTATTCCTCCCTGGGGTTACCATGCCCTGGATTACAAATTCCTTGTTAGACAAAACATCTGTTTAATCTCTTGTTTAACCCTTGTCAATACTTTAAGTGTATCACTTTCCTCCTCATCCAAAATTCTGCTTCTGCTAAAGTTTTGGATATCCCTGAGGCATTTTGAATAAGTAAGCTCAGACTAGTCATATTTATTTTAAATATGACTTTTCCACAGAAATCATTCTGCTTCTTTGGTTGATGAAAAACACACAAACAAACTAAATTGACTCCCCCTTCAAAGTAAATAGCATTTTTTGAATTATCATTAGCTCTTAGATGTATGTTGGTATGTGGAAAACAAAACAACAACAATGGGCCAGATCTCAAATTGCTTGTGCAGCAAAACTCCTTTGGAAGATGAAGGTCTCTGGAGTGAGAAAGGTCTTTGGAGTGAGCAATTAAAATGCAGTTCTGCTCTGAAAACTAACTTTGTAAAAATGGCATTGTGGGCTTATAATTTCTTGGTTAATGGCATCCAGATCAAATATGCTCATTTTGCTTGGGCAAACAACAAAAGATTTTTCAAGTTGTCAGCTTTGCTAACTCAGCATGGAATCTGGCTCTCTGAGTGGGCTTTTTCTGGCCCATACATCAACAATAAATATTCCACAATCATAACTTATTTTAAAGCTTTTCTATGTCACTCATCACCAGAGTAGCTGAGTGCCTCAAACACTACAGTGAGATAAGGCACAGTATTCATCGCCATTTTGCAGCTTGGGGAACGAGACTCAAAAATGTTTAGCAACTTGTCCAAAATGTCACAGGGAGTCTATGACAGTCAGGATTAAAACCTTCTCTACCTCCTCCTTCCTCTCCAGAAGTTATAAAGGATTCAAAAAGTTCCTCTTCTACAGTTAACAATTATGCTCATGTGTGAGCCAGAATGTAATGCAAATCTCTCTCGCACAGCTGTTTTTGTGGGGTAATAGTAGTAAAAACATATTACTTGTTAAAATAAATACATATGACTGAGGATGCACAAGAGAAGCAAAGGAAGAAGGTATCACTTTTGCATAGTCACTTTTTAGGTTTACAGATAAGAGTTTATGATAATCATCTTTTTTATTGTATTTCATTTCTTCTCTGAGATAATCATTGGAAAATCTAAAAATCACTTCATTGCTCCAGAAGAACTAGGCTGTAGGACCCTCAGGAGTAAATTGCCTTTCTGCATCTGCGGACACATGTATTGTGAAATTCTCCCCACCAAGGAGCCCCACCAATTAAAAACTGTCATGTGGCTGTCATGCTGTAGAGTGCAGTGCCACCTGCTGCCACTGTGGGTATTTCTACACAGTAATTAAAAGTATGCGGCTGACCCAAGCCAACTGACTTAGGTTCCCGGGGCTCAGATTATGAGACTGTTGAATTGTGGTAGAAACAACTGAGACTGGGTTAGCACCCAAGCTCTGAGATCCTGAGAGATGTGAGAGTCCCAAAACTCAGGCTGCAGCACAAGCATGAATGTCCATATCACAATTAAATAGTCCCTTAGCCCCAGTCCCAGGAATTTGAGTCAGTGTATGGGCTAGCTACCCTGGCTCTGTAGGCTGAATTATATGTGAAGGATTCTCGGGGCGGAGGGGAGGAGGTGGCGACACAGCAGGGAGTATGGAACTAGTGGAAAAAAATGGAAACAAAGGACAACATTGTCTGCTCACAGTCCCTGCAGTGCCTAGCCCATATGGGCTTCTGTCAGCAGAAGGCAGCACAAAGCATGGAATTCACACATACATGTTGCTATTTCAGTTCTGTAAAGAGCTGTTTGCACACAATCCCTGCTGACCTAATTTGTGCTCTTCCAGACCCAGACACAAATACAAAATAGAGAAGGTTCCAGCAGGAGCCTGGTGAGGATGGGAGTGACACAGAATTGGGGAATAGTTTTGATCATGGAGATGTGGGTGTGTAGTAGGTAAGTGATGGGAGAAGGTTCACACAGAAAAGAATGTTTCTGAATGGTAGGGTGTTTATGCAGAAGAACAGGGGTTCTCACTAGTACATTGGGTGAGTGGTGAGGATGGCTCTTCTGACCTGGTACCGGTGAGAAGGAGGGGAAAGGACTGGGCAGGGGTGGGGGTGTAATCCAGGAGGGGGGGGGCACATTGATATGTTATGGTTCAGTGCAGGGTGAATCAAGTAAACTGGTGAATAGGAGAATGTGAATTGGCTATGTGTGAATGTGAAAAGGGAGGGGGGGGAAAACCATAATGTAACAGCTAGATTGGCAGGGTGAGGCTAAAATGAGGAAAGAACAGTGAAAAAATTGCAGGTGGATAAATGCTGATTCCCACTGACTTTTGTGAAGCTTCACTATTTTTCTTCCTAAAAGAGAAGGAGGGCTCCCTTCCACACTTCACCAACCTGTCTTACTCTCCCCGCCGCTCCAGCTAACTACTTACCTTTGACAACCATGATGACTTTGAAAATAAGATCTACCTAAAATGAAATGCTGACAACTGGTAGGTTTGGCTATGTATTTTCAAGTTGTCAGTACCAGTGGGAGAGAGTTGCTGAATTCTTTATTGTAGGAGATTTTTGTGTGTGTGTGCGCTAACACACACTGATCTTCCTCGTATTAAATCTGGGAAGTTCATCCAAACTAAATGTAACCCTTTGCACTGACTGTGATAAAATATCTGGGTACCATGTAAACACTTGTCTAAGTTCATTTATAAATAAATTCAATTATAAATTAATGGAGATTGCCTATCTCCTAGAACAGACCTTGAAAGGTAATTAGTCCAGTCCCCTGCCTTCACACCAGGACCAAATACCATCCCTGACAAATTTTTGCACCAAATAG